GCTCTCCATGGGGGCGCTGGAGGCAACGATAGGTCCGGAGGCGGCGGAGGCGCTGCGGCCTGAGGTGCGTGAGTATGTGCATGTGGGCAGCCTGAGGCCTGAGGGCGATGGTGGCGGCGGGGGCGGCGGCGGCGGGGACGGCGGCGGCGGCGGCGGAGCCAAAAAGCCGGCGGCGGCGGCGGCGCCGGTAGAGCCTCTGGTGGCGGCCAATCCGACACTGCTGCTGGCACCAGAGTTGCAGTACACGGTACGGCAGGGATGGCGTCAGTTGCAGGGGAGCAGAGGAGGGCACGGGTAGGCACATGGACGTCTGTAGGTCGTTTTTGCCTTGCGGAAGAGGATATTAGTGACTTCGTTCAACTCCGCGGGCGCCAGAACTTAATGAAGTAATCGTGCGAAACATAAACTGTAAAAATATAAACCAGGTTTTCGAGCTTGCGAGGTAAAGCAACGTTACGTTTCCTGGATCTTGCGGCGGACGAGTGACCACCTTGATTTGGGGCCGGCGGGTGGCATTTCTGTTTGTTTATTTTTATTGTTTGTACGACATATTGTCCGCGGAGACGTATCACACATGAGAACTGCTCATGAGCACGATTGAAGTAATCTTAAAATATAAATGTCGCGATTTAAAATTTTAAAATCATGTCCTGTTTCAGGCGTCACACGTTTTGTTTGATGGACCGAAACAGCCCCGACGATTTTCTACGCTCTCCTCTTTTTTTCCCCCTCGAAGGTATTTCTCCTCCTCCATCTTCCGAGCCCTGCCGCTTTCGGACAAGCCCGGTACCGCTACTGCCCGCCTGACGGCGGCGCTGACGCCGCTCCTGGACGCTGCCGTACAGGGCCTGCGTGACGGCAGCATCACCGTGCAACTTGTGCACGGCGATATCCTCGCCGCCTTGCTGACGGTACCCTCCTACTCTCCACCTCCGTCGCCGCTGACGCCGCCACAACAGCCGCTGCAGTACGACTTCATCGATTGCAGCAACGTAGCGGATTACGTGTCTCTCCAGGCGCTTGTGCAGGCCGCAGCGCCGCTGCTGGCGCGTCGTACATATGCACGGCTGCGTGCGGAGAGCCTGACGGTGTACGGCCGTCAGCTGGAGCGGGAACCGGCGCTGACGCCAGCAGGCTTCGTGGCTTCCCGGCTACAAGGACCCTCCTTGGCAGCATTTCAAGAGATGTTAGCGATCCGATTGGTAGAGGGTGAGGTGGAGGTGTGGCCGGGGCGAGGAGTACGGACGGTGTGGGCTGCGGCGGCGGCGGCCGTGCTGGATCCGGTACCAGAGGCGGCAGCTCCTGCTAACAGCCACCTCTCCTCAGCCAACAGATCAGTTTCCCGTACAAATCAATATGCGAATGTATGCAGCAACGGTGGCGGCGATGGCGGCAGCGGCAGCGGCGGCGATGGCAAGGAGGGCAGGAGCTCCTGGCTGACGGCGCCTCAACTCCTGCTAGAGCTGTTGCCAGGCTGCAAAGCTCTCCTCCTGCCGTCGGATGACCAGCGGGACGGCACTGCTACTGCTCCCGCCATCGCGCCGCTGGCGCTCGTGCATCTGCTGTCATTGGCGCTGCCGCCGCTGCAGCTTGAACCTATGGTGCGGGCGTTGGTGCGGTGCGACGGCAGCGGAGCCGCTACACTGTTCAAATGGGAGCTGACGCTGCACGCGCAGCTTCAGGCGGCGGCGATCGGCGGCCTCCGGCCGCCGCCGCTGCGTCAACTGTCGTACGCAGCGCGGCCGGGTTGGGAGCTAATCGGCTGCAGCCACCTGCCACTGCTGCTGGCGATTAGCCGTGAGGCGCTGCCGCGTGTGCCGCTGCCGGTTACCAACGTAGGCGGAGACGGCGGGCTCATTAAGCAGCTGATGGCGGCGCTCGCTTGGGATGAAGACGCGGCGACGGCGCACTTTTTTCTTGCGGAGACCCTCCTGGAGCAGCGCAGTGACTGGTTCGTAACTCTGTGCGTGGTGACCGCGACTGAAGGTGGCCGCGACAGCGGCGGCGGCGGCGGCCTGGCTCTGAAGCCGGTCGGCGTGTCAACACGTCTTAAGGCGCTAAAATCGCAGCCGGCGGCGGCGGCGGCGGCGCCGTTAGCGTGGCGGCGGCTGGCTCAGCCCCGACCGCATTTGGACCTGAAGCTGGTTAACAAACTGGGGAACAACGCGCCTGCTGTCGATGACAATGACGCGCTGTCACGGCGGTCCTGGGAGGGTGCCGTACATGTTTGCCGCCGGGCGCGCAGCGTCATCGTGGATGTCCTGGCGCCCGGGTCGTTCCCGGCGGCCGAGGTGGCGGCGGTGACGGTCTGTCGGGAGGGTGCCGAGTTCACCGTGCATGTGAAGCCAAAGCGCGGCGGCGGCAAGGGCAAGGGTGGTTTGTATGTTCGTTTGTTTGTATGTTCGTTTGTTTGTATGTTCGTTTGTTTGTATGTTCGTTTGTTTGTATGTTCGTTTGTTTTGGGGGAATGGGATGAAAGACTAAACAGGGTTTGCGGGGAGCGCAGTTCAGTTCATAGTGAGGTTGAGTGAAAGACATCTAGGTGGTGGATTCAGATTGCTGTCGCACACATCCGCAGGCTGAAGGCAGATTGAAGCGCTGTACATACAGACGTACATACAGTCATACAGGCACACGACAGCCCCAACAGAATCGCTTTTGCAAGGTCCTCTAGCGTTTTTTTGGGCGGGGCCCCAGCGCGAAGCGCCCAGGGGGCCTCCCGCCCTGTAGGATTGCCCATGTCCGTGTGGCCGTGTGGCCGTGTGGCCGTGTGGCCGTGTGTGTGTAACGGACCGAACATAATACCTCGCCCGGCTGAAACGCGTTATTAGTACTATATGGCAATCTCTATTGCAAGGTATCTTGCCTGTAGCCAACAAAAATCGTATGAGCACAAACGACTTTGGCTGCCTCCATTCACCGAGCCCAAAGTCACATCAACCCCTCTCGGCTTAAATTTCATCTCAAAAAGTGCCGTGTATCTCATTATTGAATTCTGAGATGATGGCGTATTATAACTCGAACACCCAGCTTGTGTTACCATTTGCCCGCAGGGGCATTCCGACTTGCCACCAGCAGGCCGACAAACTTCCTTTCATTTCTCTATGAAGTACGCAAGCTGCCCGTTTGTACATTTACTTCGGCCAATGCTCGGGGCTTGGTGTGTCGGCTTCCTGCCTCCCGCGCTCTGACAAGCATAGCTCCTACGGCCCGTACGGATGCAGGGGGGGCCCGCCTTTCGAGGAAGCGGACACCCGACTTGTCCATCATGCCCGCCGCCCGCCAGCGCCCGCCGGCTCGGAAAGTAATTAAAGGTGCGACTGAGGGTTACTCTGGGAGCCCTAGCGGATAAGGTGCGGGACGGTCATGCCGGAAGTACAGTTTGGGAAACTGCATGGGAGTGGGTGCATGGGCATGGCGCAATCCTCATTACGTGTTGCGAATGGGGGATGCAGCGTGATGCGATATCGGGCAGGTTAACAGCCGGTCGGGCTTGGGTTGAAAGTACCGCAAGAATAAAAAAATCAAATGTTGTTTGTCTGAAACGTTGGTTGTGTGTGTGACTGCGCGTCTGTGGGCGGATGTGGCAGGTCCAAGAGCGGCGCGCGCAGCGGGGCCTTGCGGCGTCCTGCCGCCTGACGCACCAGTACCGCCAGGCCATCAAGCACTTGGAGCGCGTATTGGAGATTTCCCGAGAAATCGGGGAGTACACTGGTGGGTTCGTTCGGGATGGACGGGTCCATTTTTGCGGCGTCTTTTCTCCCACACACACACAGCAGTGGGACGAGTGTCCAAACTGAGAAGAGTGCGGTTGGGGTCGCGGTGCGCCACTGCTTGGGGCGCCTCACCATGTGGGTCGATAACCCTGCGCCCCCGAATGCACCCGTGCACGCCAGCAGCATGCACTTACGCATGAAGTCACACGAAGAACACTGGCTGCTGGGTAGTCCTGGGATGTGGCTAAAACTTCGTTTGGGGCGGATCTAAAGATTTAGGAAGAATTCAAAAAATGTTTAAGGTATGGTGTGCCGTCTCTTGACTCCTGTTTTGATTTTTTGTCTTCCTAATGAATTGAGACCAACCTCGGGGCGTTTGTTACACAAACAGCGACTATTTTGTATCATTTTGTTTTTGTAATGCTTTGACTTGATCCGCCGCGTGCTCGTTGTGTTATTGGTCAGGTGACGCCGACGCGTACGGCACCATGGCGGACTGCTACACGGATATGGGCGAGTTCGAGAAGGCGGCGGTGTACTATGACAAGTACATTGAGCGCATGAACCGGGACGGACCCATCTAAAGGAAGCTTCTATAGCCTTCCTCCGGACATCGTATCATTATTATATTATTACTTCTGTGAGCGCTAGAATGTTGTGAACGCGTGGTTGTTGTCAACACCGTCCGTGTAGCCGGCCCGTCGGTATGGACCGCTCTCACGAGCGAGCTCCGCAGGGAGAAGAAGCTTTGCACCTGGGGGCCTTGTCGTCCTGTATGTTGTCCTGTGGGCTGGGGGGGAGGCGTGTGTGTCCGGTAGGGCAGAGGCGCCCTTGTCGACTTGGGACTGGAGTCTCGTTCAGGTGGGCGCTGGAGCGGAGGAGTGGGAGGTGGGGGGCCCTGGTGTTGGGAGCTGGGCCGAGTGTGAAATACATTTCCTCGGGTTCGGTGCCGCCTGGACTTCTGGTTATCTGCGTGCTCTCAGTTTTCTTGAGTTCATGTGGTTCACTAGGACACTTGTCGTTCGGGTGTTGGAGCGGTGCTGCGGCGGAGATACTGCGCAGGGTTGGTTAACGAAGAAGGTAACGGTGTTTTGGCCCGCGAGGGGAGGAGAGGAGGGGGAAGAGGAGGGGGAGGAGAGGGGGAGGAGGAGGAGCATGAAGTCGTAGTACGGCAGCTCTCCTTGCACTGCCATGATGAATGCCGATTGCAGGCGCACTGCCGTACCCTGTAGTCCTCTCACCCTGGTTTTTATGCAACTGCGCTTATCACGAGGCAATGGATGTTCAAGGAAGTATTATATATTATACATATAACAAACTTCAAGCAGCACAGCGCTCAGCGCCAGTAGTAGCACCAGGCTGGGCTGGCCGCCAGCATGTCGTGGGCATATGCGATTGATTACTTGGGGAGCTATGTACGGAATAAAGTACGGAGTAGGCCGCCGCTTGTGGCAACTGCACATAGTCGTTTTTTGTATAGGAGCTCCCACCGGTTTCCGGCCCCTTGCACCGGGATGTACGACTTGCTCGTCCGGCATCGCAGCGTCTTTGAAAGATTGAACGGGCCTCGGGGTTACTGGGGAGGATATACAAGGCTTAACAGCGTGTTCTCCCGTTTTATCTGTTGCAAAATGTACACACCGGTGCAAAGGTGTATGATGGTGCTGCCATGCCTCACGAGGCTTGGGAAAAGGTTCGAGAGCCTGGAGTGGAGTAGTATTTGCGTGAAGGGCTTTGTTCAGCTGTGTATGGACATGTGAGGGCTGTGTGAGCTATAAGCGAGAGCTGCGTCTTCCCAAAAAGTTTGCACCAGCTGTGAGAGAGTTGGCAGCTTTTTTTATTGTTAATTTACAGCCGGATTGCTGGATAGCAAACCACTGAACAACAAACCTTTTCTTGGTAAAATCTGTTTTGACTTAGGTGGGCTCCCGCGGTGCTTCCCTGTACGCTTCTCTGCTCCCTGCAACAGCCCTCAGATTTTCAAAAGAGTTTAAAAGCTGCGTCCGCGCTATCATGGAGGGTTACGGCTAACATATCAAGGACCTTCCAGTATAATGCCAATATGGGCGTACAAGGGGTACGATGTTGCCCCAGGTAGGGGCAAGGTTCCCTACTGGGTGCTCGGCAGTGGCTCGGCATTGAGCAGGGCAACTGAAAGTCCTGCCAACCGTCCTATTTTAAACGCGGATGGAGGACGAGGACAGAAATATTACCTTTTTGAAAATGTAAGCTTTTGCAGTTCTAGCCTTATGCCGATTTGTTCCTGATGCTATGCATGTACAGATTGCCGCGAGATCCGAATGACCGTGGAAGCCACGGCAGGGACAATACGATTTGCTTCAGCGTTAAGCATTACAAAGATGGGGGCCCTTGTGAAGCAGCTGCCCGCGTTTCTAAAGCACGTATGGTGTTGGATTGTATGGTGCCCAAGTACGTTTGCGAGGAAGATAATGTGGCGAGGCTGGAGAGGAAAGTGCAGTGGCATATTGGAATGTGAGATTAGCGTAAGCGAGTTACAGGGCGTTTTATTGCACGGGCGAATTTACGTGCAAATCTTTCACCGTAGCATCAGTCCTCAGTTCATTTCTTGGAACGAACATCAGCATAGGTGCAAGCCCTCTCGCTTGGGGGGATATGCAAACAAACATCCTGATAGGGGTAAACTCGCATGCTACCGAGCATTCAACCGAGCACATGCATGCTTAGTTGAATGGTGAGATGCGACCCCCCCTTCATTTCGTGCTCGGCAAGCCTGCCACCGCGTACCGGATATGTTGGCGATGTTACAGAACGCTGCACCTTGGTTTCTGTGCGCAATGCATACGTTGCTCGACCCCGCCGACCAAAACTACACGTGCCCAACTGAAGACACACCGGTGGTTGTGCAGCAGCTCTTGAGGCTTTGTTGGCTGAAATCCATCCTGAGACGCTGCACCTCGGTACCTGTGCGCAATGCGTACGCTGCTCGCCCGCGCCGACCAAAACTACATGTTCCCATCTGAAGACAATGCCGGTGGTTCTTAAACAGAATTTGAGCTTGCTGCTGGCTCAAGTCCTTCCGTAGTTGCTGCAACACGGCTAACGCAGGCACGGCCGAATGCGCTGCGAAAAGCTGTTCCAAGCCCTCAGCGGCATCCATTTTACTTGCAAGGTTCTGAACGACTTTCGCGATTCTTCTCTTTACCTAATTCTGCGTTGTTATTATTTATTTCGTAAGAGTGTAACTTGAGTCTAGTGGGAACAATGTGCATTATGCGCTGCGCTACCGAAAGCAGGCGCCTTATGGCTGATTCTTCGCCGACCGCTTCATCTTCCGCGGCAGTTTCACGAGCCCAGAGTTGCAAGCTACGACCGTGCTTTTAGTTACTGCAAAGCATCCACGCAATAGTCCAGCCTGCATGCCGCGTGCGGCTGTGGCCAACATGCCCACCTGCGCAACGCGCTGGCGCACCTGGTCCTCATCCGCCAAGAAATTTTACATACATTTGTACAGGCGCATTTTGCGAATCGCACGCGCGCATCTGCGCGGCAAAATTCGTTCCTGACTTTTGGGACGAGATGTACGGAGTCCCTATTCGCGAAGTACGACCGGACACATTTGTGCGAGAGGCTGCTTAATGAATACCTACCGATGTACCTGAAACATAAAAGGCTTCAGCCATTGTTATGAGCATGGCAACCACGTTGTGCAGCAACAAAAAGTCTTTAGTGCGTGATTAGGACACGCCTCACGATCCGATACATCTACCCGTGAGGGACCCGTGAGCAAAGGACTCGCAAGTAATCCTATTTTTAATAAATGCCTACAGAATAAGTGATTGACATGATATCTGTTCTCTTATATTTAAATCCATGCTCGGTTGTCGGTCCATGTGCCGGTGTTGGCGTTACGGTTCCTTTTCTGGAGAAAAATATACATGCACTAAACCAAGATCAATCAGATCAAAAACGTAGCTGTGATAATATTATGAACTTCTGTCCTTTGCCATGAGCGCGCAGGCATCACAGGGCAACCCGCGGGAGCGGGGCAATGCTCTGTTCGTGAAGGGCAATTTTATCGCTGCCGCTGCTGCCTACTCCGAGGGACTGCAATCCAATAGTAGTTTAAAAACTGCAAGCAACCTGAACTGCACGGTTGCTGAGGAGCGTGCTATCCTGCTGTGCAATCGAGCCGCATGCCATCTGGAGCTCGGCAATGCAGCAGCCGCGGAGGCAGACTGCCGTGCCTGCCTACAGTTGCAGCCATGCAATATCAAAGCACACTACCGATTGGCCCGGTCCCTGCCGGCCGATCACCCCGACGCGGCTGCCGCCATCGCCATCGCCATCGCGCTGTGCGAACCAGGTGGTCGCGCTGACGCGATGATGGCGACCTACAACACCATTCAGCGTGCAGCGGACAATGCTGCTGCTGCGGCTGCAGCAGCAGTCTCTGCTGCTGCCGCCGGCACAGACGAGGCTGCACAGCCGCCGCCGCCGCCAGTACGACTGCAGCTCCCGCCAGACTGCGGCCGCGTCGCCGCCGCATCGAGCTGGTCTGAAGTCGAAGCCGCCCTGCGTCGAGGTTTCAGCTTTGTCGTACTGCGCCCCGGCATCTACACTACCAACACCCGCGCGCCGCAGGCGGCGCCCGGCGTCAGCACCTACACGCTCCTCGCCGTCGGTTCTGTCGTACTGCAGTCAACGCGTGACGGCGGCAGCCACGCGATCTGGGTCAACGCTGAACTGCCGTTTCATTCTATTTTCCGTAGGACGCCGCCTGCCTCCGTCACGCTGGCCGGAGTACGGCTTGTTGGCAGCGGCCGTGTAGCGGCGGCCTGTGTCTCCGGCGATGGCGCAAAACTGCAGTTGCTGAACTGCCGTATCGAGGACTACGGCGAGGCAGGCCTCTTAGTAACGGGAGCGTGTACGGCACGTCTTGCGGGATGCGTCTTCACCCGTACGGCAGCTCAGGCGATAGAAGTCCGGGAGGGTGGAAAACTGATAGCGGATCGCGTCACCATCACCAACTGCAACCAGGGCGTATCCGCGTACGGCGGTGCTCGTACCGTCGTACTGCGTGACTGTACGATTGTGGGATCAAAGCGGGAGAATGTGTTGCTGAGCGGCACGTACGTGAACGCCGCGACGGAGGCTCAGCACGGCCTTGGAGGTGACGGGAGAAAGGCGCGGTCGGCAAGCGCCGCCGTTGCGACGGCGAAGGCGGAGGAATGGGGCCGGCGCAACAGCACGCCGTTGGACGTTGCTTTGTTGGACTGTACCATCAGCAGGTCTGGACAATTTGGAGTGTCCGCAGACCGCGGCACTAGTGTTTTGGCGCGAGGTTGCCTGCTCGAGGACAACGATCCGTACGCGTTTTTCATCAAAGGGGGCACGGACGCGAGCATATTGGCGTGCCGAATCCACTACTCCGGCGCCAGATCCAAATGTGACTGGGGAATATCCGCTGGCGGCATTGGTGGCGGCGGCATTGGTGGCGGGCGCGGCGGCGTCAGAGGCCGTGGCGCGGCTGCGGCGGCCCCCATGCGGCAAACCGGTATTCATATCGGCGTCAACTACGGCGGCACCGTCACCATCGTCGGTAATGCATTTGTCGGGCCCGAGAAGATGGCGATTGTGGAGGAAGGGGTCGGAAGTGCCGAAGTCGCCATCACGACACGGTGCCTGGGCTTTTGGTCCAAGCCATCATCCACAGATCGGAACAGTTACCATGATAGGAAGGCGGCTACTGCGGCGCTGGCCGAGCGCCGTCGCGGCGGCAACGGCCCTGGCGGCAGGAACGAAGGAGGTGACTGTAGCGGCGGTAGCAGTCGCAGCGGCGGGGGCGGCGGCGGAAGTACGGACGTCGATGATGTAGACTCCGTGCCTAGTTTGGAATCCTTGGCGCAGCACCTGCCGTCCTGGGCGATGGTGGCCGGTACTGTCG